AGTGAGGACAGGAGGAAGATCATGTCATGCTTACGAGTCGAGTTTATCCCAAAGCAACAGTGAACCAAGGAAGGATTTTTAAGTGGGTGTATTCAAAAATAGAAGAATTGCAATTCGGGACACGCAAGCTATGGCAAACCATATGCAGGTACAGGAAGGATTTTAAGCAGTGGAATGCCACAAGCAGCTTTTCATTTTGAAGCTCAATCCAGGGGTAGTTTTCAGTGGCGGGACTACAGATGGAAAAATCGGTCAAGAAGCTGTCCCAGTAATCCAGGCAGTCTGAACTGTGGCAGTTGCAAAGAAAGCAGAAAAAGAAGAGTTGAGAACTGTTATAGGAAGGCCATACGGTAGAACTTGGTAAGCACTAAATAGTGGGGGTAGAAGTAGGCGGAGATTCAGGCTTTCAGCCTGAGTGATTGGTGGGACCGTTCAGGGGTAGAGTGAAAAAAGGAGCAAAATAAAGTCAACAGGAACAATGATAAGTTTTCTTTTGTTACGCGGAGTTTGCTATTTTATTATGTTGGGTTTGAAAAACATGTGTGACATCCAAACAGAGATGGTCTAGTGCGTGGTTGAATATATACAGGTCAGAAGAAAAACACGGCCTGGAGATGACAGATTTGGAAGTCATAAACGAAGAACAGGGGTGGTTGAAGCCACATGAATGGAACAGGTGGAGATAAAATGACAAAGGACACAATTCTAAAAAACGGCAGTATTTAAGATACAGGAGGAACGACAGGAGCCCAGGAAGGAAAGTGAGAAAAGCAGCCCTAGAAATAGAAGTGAGTAGTACCCTGGATCAAAGGAGAAGAGAATTAATTTCAAGAAAACACACTACAAGATCAAATGCTGCAGAAATACCAGAAAGGCTAGAGACTAGAGTGTCAGGAATGCCTAGCAGTGAGGAAGTCACTGATAAGATTTGTGGACAACGGTTTCACTGTTGTGACAAAACAAACAAGGACAGGCATCCAGGAAGAGCTACCTGGGAACAAAAGGATGAGGGAGAACCTGAAGTTCACAGAAGTAGGTCTCTGAGGAATTAGGTACAACTATGACCTAGTGCAGAGGATTGGTCCTAGACAAGTAAAAGGCTACCACTTCCCCTAGTTTGTAAACACTGAGAACGGGAAATAAAGAGGAAGACCAAGAAGCTTTAAAGGGCTCTTAACTAATGGTCAGTTTTTTCTTTGAAGTAAAGGGATATCTATTAACCACAGAAAGGGAGGTGACAGGAAGATTTGGAAAAGCTGTCGTTCAAGAGGGGAAAGGAGGATGACACGAAAGAGGTGCTACAGGTTCACAAAATCTCCTTGCTCTACAGAATCCCCTTTCTTCTAAGTGTCAACTTCAGAGTCATTCTGATGGGAATGGAAAAGGACACATAACTGCAATATTCATCAAAATGCAAATCCATTTGCCCTTGCACCCAGCAACTCTACTTCTAAGAATGTAAACAACAAATACACCTGGCAGATACGTGGAATCATGTGTATATTCAGTAGAGCACTATTTGCCGACAGCAAGTGAATGGAAACAACCCAAATACACATCATGAAAGACTGGTTAACTAAATTATGAATTACTGGGGCCTCTGGCTGGCTTAGTCAGTAAAGCATATAACTCTTAATCTCAGGGTCATGAGTTTGAGCCCCACACTGGGCACAGAGATTACTTAAAAAAAAAAGTTATGGGGCGCCTGGGTGGCTCAGTCGTTAAGCGTCTGCCTTCCGCTCAGGTCATGATCCCAGGGTCCTGGGATCGAGTCCCAC